AAAGGAAACAGGGGAGGGGGTATGTGAGTATAAACACGGCGAGTAGTAATAAAACGGATACGGGCCGCTACGCCCAAACCCCAAATCCTGAACCAACAAAAGAACCATGGCAACCGAGCTATACGCCTAAAACACGTTAAGGAACTAACATCTTCAGCTCACACAAGCTTCCAACTCAACGAACACCACATAACCTTCTCTCTGTTCACAATAAAAAAATCTCTTCGTTTCACTCCGTTTTCTCGCTTGCAATTTCGTTTTCAAGGATTGATGTATGTTGTTGCGATTCACGGTTTGTGCAGGTGGAAAAAGACACGGTAATGGTTGTTGGTGTGGGTTTGTTCTTGTCGGTGGTGTTTAACTTGTAGAAATTGGTTGAAGCTATTGAGGGTTAATGGAGTTTGAATGGAGAACGATGGTGGTGTGGGGTTTTTGGGTTACGGTGGTGATGGATTTGGATGCATGTCTGTGAGGGTGATGAGTTTTAGGTGTTGAAGAGTTTCGGAAGAGATGGGTGTTGGGGTTTGGTTCGATGAAGTTGTTGAAGAAGATTAGAGGAAGTTTACGGTTGGATTTTTTGGCTTTGAAGACGAGTGAAATGGAGTTGGATTTGTAACGTGTTTGAAGTTTCTAAGGTTGAGGATGGATATGGGTTTTAATGGTGAAAGGAGGTGATTTTCTGGAAAAATGGGTTCGAACAGAAGTTTGAAGTTTTACGGTGGAGAGGTTGAATGTGCGTTTCTGGATTTGTAGAAGTTTGATGGATGTTGTGAGTTTGTAATGTTAATGGTAGTTTTCAGAAAACTGGGTTGGAGCTTCAACAATGGTGGTCGGTTGAAGGGGATTTTCTGGGTTGAGTGTTATGGTTTCGAGGAGACTGAAGCTGCATGTTGTAGATCACGTGATTTGAAGGAAGTGTTGTTGTTTGTGCATGAATGTTTGGTAGTGAAAGATCTGAAGCTCGTTGATGGTGAAGTTACTTGAAGATGGAAGTGCTTGATTGTAGATCTATGGATGTAGTTGGATGTGAAGATTTATTGATCCGAAAAAGGATTGTTGAGTTTGAGTTTGGAATTTCTGGAGAAAAAGTGATATGAACACGGTTGAAGCTCCTTGAAGAAATTTGGGAAATGTTGAAGGTGATGAATGTTGCTGGAGGGTTTATGATGACTCTGAAGATATGAGAGTGATGAATGTTGCGGTTTCTTGAAGGTGCGATGAAGGTTTAAGGAAAAACAGATGGAGTTCTTGAACGAGATGAAGGTTTGAAGAATTTCTAGAAAAAAAATGATATGAACACGGTTGAAGATACAAGGAGATATGGAAAAATGATGACGAACCTGGATGAACGCGGATGAACTTGTATGAAGATTATGGGAAATCTGGAAAAAAGTGATACGAAGGTGATGAATATTGATGAACTTCGTATGAATTTCTGGAGAAGTTGGGGATGAGCGTGATGAACACGATGAAGGTTCAAAGCAGATCTGGAAAATCATGTATGGAGATCGATGAAGTTGATATGGTTTCTGGAAAATCATGTTGAACATGATGAGGATATGAGATTTCCGGTGAGCAGTTTCGGGTTTCCGGCGAGCTTGGGTGGTGCTGTTCGATGAAGGAGGAAGGGGCGGTTGAACAATGTTTGAGAAGGAGGCTAGGGTTAGGGATTCCCCCCAGAAGAAGACAACGAATAGTGCATTTTATACCCATATGCTGACACATGCACTGATTATTGATAATGTTGATTAAAGTTAATGATGCGCTGATGAAATGGTTAACGGAGTAAAATGACTTAATTAATATGCTGAAAATAATAAAACATGCTGATAAACAATAATTATGTGATTAATGCTAATGAAATGATTAAGGAAAAATGAAAATAATAATTAAAGTTGACTTAACTAAAAAATAATCCTAACAATCTATACAATTAATTAACTCTAATCTAATCACTTAACTAATTAATTAAAAAACTAACAAAAACTATTAAATAAACTAATTGAAAACCAATAATAAATCTATATTATAAAATAAAAACTATATTCTAACTATTTTAAAAAACAATATTAAATTCAACTAACTATTTCAAACAAATAAATCCTAATATCATTTTTAAAAACTAAAATAGAATCTATTCAAATAACCTAATTAAAAACACCTAAAATTCTATTTAACTTCTAAAAACTATTTCTATACATTTATTTTTAAAAACAATATTAAAAATAGACTATATAATTAAATTCTAAAACCTATTTTCTAAATGAATTAAATAAGACAAAAATAACAACAATAAATAAAAAAAAATGCAAAAATGCTATGAAAAACAGGCGAGCACCGAAATGTGCCAAATTATCAACACAGATTGAATTATCGAAAGGAGAGCGATTTTCGCTCGATTTCGACACTGAATTTATCGTTTGAATTATTTTGAATCGCCTGAGACGCAAGCAAAGCGGCTAAAATCATGATAAATTCAATCCGACCGATAACACGGGCAAAATGCAACCTAAATGATATGCAGATGAAAACAAAGCAAAAGCCAGTCAAAGTCAGAAAACAGATGGGCAAATTTTAGGGTGCAACAACTCTCTGCTTTGTTTTTCTCTGCCTCAAGGACGACGTTTTCATCTCGCAGCTTTTTCATCTCTGAGGTAGGGCTGGTTCATCATTAAGGACCAGGGTCGTCTCAAAGACCCTTATCATGGCGGCCATATCCTCGGTCAGCGTTTTCCTTTGGGTCACGCGGTCAATCCCCATGATCGTCTTGGTTTCAGCCTCAGCCACCGTCGGGGAGTGGTCCCCGGAGAAAATGTCTCGTTGGGTATGGCAAGGGGTAATGTAAACTTCTCCATGTGTGCGCTCTCCTCGAGGTCGACAAGCACATGTTCCTCGTTGTGCCGCCTTTTAGAGGAAGTCTCTTACATGGGAGGAGACTGACTGCATTGAGGGGAGGAAGAACAACCAGCTCCTTGGTCGTACCTCACCATTTGTTGGACCTGAGAGACTCTACCTTTGGCCTTCTTCCTATCCTTGGCACCGCGGGCTTCAGTGTGCGTTCCTGTGTGTTCGACATCTGGCATACGACAAGAAACAAAGAAAATCAAGTCAGTCCAAAATGGAAAAAGGCAGGCGCCCCTGCAAAGAAAAGTGTCATTATCTAAAAACCTCAAGGCCTCCTCACGAGACCTGCACTCGAGGAGAGCCTTGATATTAATTAATCGAGCCTCGCGACAAACCTCCCCGCACTCGTCGAGGATAAAACTCTCATCCTTGTGGACGCATTTGGTGGGAGTGAAGCCAGAGATAAAGTCGACTATCTCTTGGTAAGATAGTCGGTCATCGAGATCCAGGTCGATATGCTTCATGATATAGTTGTCCGTGCCCTGGTTAAAGTGGTCATCGACCCACTCGAGCAAAGACTTTGACACCAATGTCTCCTCACGCTCTCCGTTCTCCTCTGTGACCACAAGGTCGTATAGGGAGTCGAAGGTCGTGTGCGACACAAGATTCACAACATAAAACATGTCCTTGAAGGTGCAGACATAATCTTGATACGCCCATAACAACTTCCTCGATTGCTTCAAGGATACCTAAATGTGCTTACCTTTGAAGGATTGATGTTGTAGGTGGAAAGTACGGAAGAACAGAGGAAGTGTAGTCCCAATACCAAGATGCTCACAAAGTAGCTCAAACTCCCGCACAAACGTTGTGGCATTAGGGTGAAGTTGCGAAGGTGCTAGGAGGAGCCACAAGAATACTCCCCCCTAAAAATCACTAAAGGGGAGGTGGATTCCCGCTTCCCGAATCGCAAATTCATACATCGAGAACCTCATCTCCCTGAACCTTGAGCAGCTGTGGTGTTTGTCCTTGGGTTTATAAACCATCCAGCTCGAGAATAAACCCTCAAGACGGTCCTCGACAGTGGCAAAAGCGTATGTGTCATCGGAGGCGAAACGCGACGCAATATTAAGAGGTTCCTGCCCGACCCAGTCCTCGGGCGTACGAACTCGTTCGGCTCTTTCGACCTCGACGGGAGTGTCGGGCTCAGATTCGTCGTCGATATGGATGACGCCCTGAAGTCTTACACATGAATAGAGAAAGACAGACACAAATATATAACACACTGATAACAAATAGACACCACAACAAAGAGGGAGAAACCAACCTGACAGCCGACTGAAATAGAAAAGGAGAAAACGTGAACATGATTGGGAAAGGAAAACGAGACAAGAAAAACCTAGAGTGAGATCAAGAAACTAAATCAACAACACCAGAATTCACCAAAGAGGGTCATTGATAGAAATCAAAGACACTCACACTAATAGAAAATGAGGGAGAAAGCAAATATGATGTAGCATTGCTAATATTGTACTCTCTCAGTTCTACACTGAGTAACTCATTTAAAATAAATGTGTTCCAAAATGAACGACCCATTTCAATTTCCAATACTTATTTTTAAAATTTACCCTCTAATTAATATTACATTCACCATTAATCTGTATGAAATGGTTAACTGAATCACTCATTGTGAAACGGAAAAAACAATAGTATGATCATAAAAAATGAATTAACGAATCATCTCTTTGATGAGTTTAGTTTTATATTTATGTGTCTTCTATTTTTTTATTTATTAAAAAATATTAAATAAATTAATTTTTTATATAAAGAATTACTTTACTTATTTATTTATGAACAAATAAATAAAATCAATAACATAAAAAAAATAGTGTGACGGCCACATAACTTACTCATACAGTATCTGTTAAAAATAAATAATTGGGAAAGTATGGTCAAGTTTGAACATCTGGAATCTGAATTCCTTCTTCAGGAAAACGTGTCCACATAAAACAAAAAGAAAACTAAAAGCAATCAAGCTACTCCTCCTCCTAATTCATCTTCTTCCACATCTTTCTTCTCTCGATCCAAATCCCTAGATTCAATTTCAATTTTCAATTCATTCTCTCCTCTTCAAATCCATTTCTCCATCCGCAACAACAATGGATCTAGCTCCAGAAGAACTCCAATTTCTCAGCATCCACAACATCTTAACCGAAGCAATCTCAATCCCCAAAACTTCCCCTAAAACCTTCTACCTGATTACCTTAACCCTAATCTTTCCCCTTTCTTTCGCAATTCTAGCTCATTCCCTTTTCACACATCCCTTAATTTCACACCTTCAATCTCCTTTCACTGATCCCTCACAAACCTCTCATGATTGGACTCTTCTCCTCGTTTTTCAGTTCTTTTACCTCATTTTCCTCTTCGCTTTCTCTCTCCTCTCCACCGCCGCCGTCGTCTTCACCGTCGCTTCACTCTACACCTCAAAGCCGGTTTCTTTTTCTTCTACCATCTCCGCTATTCCCAAAGTCTTCAAGCGATTGTTCGTTACTTTCTTATGGGTTACTCTTCTTATGACTGTTTATAATTCCGTTTTTGTTCTAAGTTTGGTTCTTCTTATTATAGCTGCGGATACTGATAATACCTTTTTGCTGTTTTTCTCTATTGTTGTTATTCTCTTGCTGTTTGTTGTTGCTCATGTTTATATTACTGCATTGTGGCATTTGGCTAGTGTTGTTTCTGTTCTTGAACCTGTTTATGGTTTTGCTGCTATGAAGAAGAGTTATGAGTTGTTGAAGGGTAGGGTTAGGTATGCGGCTGTTTTGGTTTGTGGGTATTTGTTTATCTGTGGGGTTATTGCTGGGGTGTTTAGTTCGGTGGTGGTGCATGGTGGTGATGGTTATGGTGTGTTTACTAGGATTGTTATTGGTGGGTTTTTGGTGGGTGTTCTTGTTATTGTCAATTTGGTTGGGTTGTTGGTGCAGAGTGTGTTTTACTATGTTTGCAAGAGTTATCATCATCAAGGGATTGATAAGAGTGCTTTGCATGACCATCTTGGTGGCTACCTTGGAGAGTATGTGCCTCTTAAGAGCAGTATCCAAATGGAAAATTTGGATGTATGATTCTGGTTTCTTTTGTAAGTTCATTTTATCTGTTATATGCTGTAATGAAATTGTGTAAAACGGTTCGAAGAAAAGCCTAATGAAAGATTGTATGTTGGTTGCATTTTCTTTACTTGGTTATGTTGTATTTCAGTTATTTCTTCTTTTTAATAAACTATGTGAACCAATCCTTGTGTAGCAGAAGTAGATTACTAGTTTTTTCTTCATTACTGTATTCTTATACAATGGCTGTGTCCATATATTATCATCCAATTGATAGAATAAATGGTACCAACATATGGTTTTGTTAGCTTTTTTCTTTCACTTATTAATGATTGAAATTCAAAGTGTGTATTTATTTGTAGCCATTTCTTTTTATGCATTGAGCTGCATTTGGGTTATCATTGATGTTCTCTCATGGTATCTGTTACTGGGAATAGTCAGGTTTGAGCTTTATATGCTATTGAATGAATCTGAAATCTCGTTACTTGGCCAAGTTTTTCTCAAAGGAATGGTAGGTTTATATCTAATTATTTCTGCAAATAGTCGCCCAAATGTAGTTGAAAGCACTGCAAATTGCATAGAATTTGGAGCAGTTTGCTTTGAGCTAATATTAAAGCAAAATTAGATTTTAGCATTCTGAAATCTGAACTCTGTTACAATGTGGTTTCTTAGACAATGTGGGTCCATTGGGAGCATATTTATGATGGTAGCTATATCCAGACATAAACTAGATGATGAAATCCCCCTTGAGATTACTATTATAAGCAACAACAAAAAATTTCAATGTTTAATCACTACTATAAACAAAAGTTAATTACTTCAGTACTATTTAATGTATTTAAAACATACTCTTCAATATTACTATAAACATTACTGCTGGTATAATGGCATAAGGTGCATGGCGGCATATTCTTTTGTTTAGTTCTTTGATTGTTTGATTTCCCATTATGAATGTGTTGGGTTGCCAATAATCAACGAAGTTTGTAATGTGACATTTGAATGAACTCCAAATTTAGAATAGAACCATTTATGATGAAGTTAATAGAAAATACTTACATTATAGTGACAGAAGTTTTTAGTGAAAGGTAAAAAAACATTTTTCCTGTTATTATAATTTTTTGTTGGTATATATAAATTTAGAGGTAGTAAGTGTATATTCAAAAAATTGAATGTAATTTTTCGAGTTAACTATAAACTAGCCTTATTTGAATAATGATAAATAACAACAGCAACTTCAATGAAAAAAGACTGATCTTTATCTATATATTTTTTGGAGTAAGATTGGCTACCTTCACTGTTTTATTTTTTTTACACGGCATTTGTGTTTTACACTTTTTCTTGTTGATCGCAACTCTTATATTATTAAGTTGGCTGCCAAAAATGCTTCAACCTGTCACTTGAAAAGAAGGATGATTTGTATGAGCTGTCCATTTTGCAAGACAATTACAACTTTCCTTGAAGCTTTATTGGAGATTTCAATTCCATATCAGGGGTTCATGAGCACAAAGGGAGTGACACCCTCAACATGATTCCCATTTTGGACTTTTCTATAGATACTAACAACTTGGTTGATCTCCATACTAAAGGCAGCAATTATACTTTGATTTAATGGTAGATTAGGGAAGGGCTTAGTGGAAAGAAGGTTATATAGAGTCTTGGATAAAAAGATTGGTTGTCTGGGTGTGCTTCAATGTCTATTATTGCAATTCTTAAACTAAGATCTGATCATTATCCAATCTTATTTGAATTCAAATCCTCTACTACTGGGTGATTTCTCCATTCAAAATTCATAGAATGTGGTATCTCCCCGTGCAATGTCACACTTTCATTAAAAATTGTACGAATGCTCATGTGGTGGGCTGTTTTATGTACATTTTGAACAAGAAACTTCAATTGCTTAAGGAAATTGTACGAATGCTCATGTGGAGATGGTAGGAATGCTCATGTGGTGGGCTATTATATGTACACTTTGAACAAGAAACTTCATTTGCTTAAGGTTAAGCTCACACATTGGAACATAAAAGTTTGAGAATTTTTTATTGCACCCTAGATGTTTCTTATGCATCATGTGAATTTCTACATATATCACTTGATTTTAGAGATACATTTTTGAAAGCACCTATTTCTAAATAAACGTTGACATATTTCGGAGATACATCTCTGAAACTATTTTAAACGTTCAAAACATGTTACTCAGACACCATTTATAATTGAATTGTTCCGAAAATGCATATTCAGTCATTTTTCAAAGATACATCTCCGAAGTGTATCATAACATTTTGTTTTTTTTTACTATAAGTTGTGTATTTGTTTTTAGATTAAGTTTAAAACGCGATCCAAAATTAAAAAAAATTGACGTACACAATAATAAGAGACTAATATTGGATGAAGTATCACAAAATATATAGAAAATGTCGTGCAATCGAAATCTAAAATGTGATAAAACCGTAAAAATAAAGTAGAAAGTATAGTAGTATAACAAAATAATAACATACTACTGGGTGTGTCTGACAACATCTCATATGCTTGCTCTACCTCCTCGGCCACCATTCTCTCTCGTCCTCCGGCGATGTCTCAGGTACAATAGTGTCCCCCGTGCCTTTGCCACCATGGCATCCATGCCTCGACTGACAGCAAACCCCTCGGGAAAGATAAACTTGTCAATGTCTGCCCGCGCAATCTCTACTATGCGATGACACCGAGGCAAGACATCATCAGTATGATCTAGCTGAGCCTGCTCCTCCTCTAGTATCTCCTGATGAGGTGGTCTTGGTGGAACTCATTGAGCAGTTTGTACCATGTACAAATGTGACACCTTGAAGAACCACCCGATGTATCTGTTGACGTGGCTCCAATCATTCGACGCTATGGTAGTCTGTGCCTCCTTTGGAACTAGATGACTCTCATAATCAACAAACATCTCATCTTTTTGTCTACGAGTCAAGGCAGGAGGAGTAGAGACATCTGTGGAATCAAGATTCTCAGAGATCAACATATGTTTTGATGAAGACAAACCACTTAAAGAAGGCAAAGATGATCAACCACCAAGCATCAGGACAAAGACACAACTTTAAGGATGTTTTCCTCAGAAGGTATAATGAGAACGTCCATTAAGTATTTAAGTCATAATTGCTCAAATCATTAAAAATCGTTTACATTAATTTTCACACTAACACAAGCTTTTTAAATGAGAATTTTTCTAAGTTTTTGTAAGTGCAATCGATTGCACTCTTAGAGCAATCGATTGCATGATCAATATTTTAACTCATTTTTTTTGCTTCTGTTTCAGTAAGCAATCGATTGATGCTTTGATGCAATCGATTGCATGCTTAAAATTTCTCAATTTTTCACTTCTGTTTTGAAGTGCAATCGATTGGTCTGAAAGGTGCAATCGAATGCTCTATTGAAAATTTGAATTTTCAAGTGTTTTTGTGAAGGTGCAATCGATTGGGCTCTTTGTGCAATCGATTGCTCACTGAACGTTTTTGAAAAATCTTTCTGAAAAATTGCATCTCTTCAATCGAATTTCTATGGAATGTTTCCTTTGAAACATGACAATTGTTCATCAATTTTTCTGGAGATTTGCATGTTTTTCTCAAGAGGTGTTTATGTAATATAAATACCTAACTCTTTCAAAATTCAAATAACCTCTTTCAATCAAAAAAACTCTTTAACATACTTTTTAGTTTCCACATCTAAATCAGAAACAATTTTCACAAAGAATTTTCTGCATAAATTTCATATCCTTTGAAAAGAAAATTCTTGAACAATAAGTCTTAAAAACTTGTGGAATTTTCCATTGAAAGAGAAGATCAATCTCAGCATTGATAAACAACTGTATACATTGTTACAAATTATTACAAAAATCAGATTGTATTTATTTCCCCTTGCTATTCAGAATTGTTGAAAGTAAGTGTGCGCATTATAGAGGATTGTTCTCATTGCACTTAGTGTTCAGATCTTAAAGGTGTTTAAAAGCCTTTGATCTCCCTATAGGTTAGAAAGAAGGTTGTACACTGATCCTAACTATAGTGAAATCTCTTTCGAGTCGAAAGGGGAGTGGAGTACCCTCGGAGTGTGAGGGGAACCACTATAATTTCCTGTGTCTCTTTTACTTTCTGCCTTTACAAGTTTTCATAACATCACTCCGCTAAAAGAAATTAACATAACTCTCTTAAAACCAGAAAATTTAAAAAGAACCTAATTCCCCCCCCCCCCCTCTTAAGTGCAATTCTTACTTACAATTGGCATCAGAGCATGTTTAGGTAATCTATTCCTAATCGATCATGTATGGCTTCCGCAAATAACAAAGTTGTATTCAAAGACGGTGGTAGTAGCAACAAGCCTCCACTGTTTTGTGGTGAATACTTTGATTTATGGAAAATTCGTATGAAGGCTCACTTAGAAGCACAAGGAGATGAAATCTGGAATGTTGTTCAAAATGGTCCGTTTGTTCCTACAACGGTCATTAACGGTGTAGGATCAACAAAGCCCAAAGCCTCATGGGATGACGATGATAAGAAAAAGGTTCTCTATGACAAAAAGACAATCAATCTCCTACAAAGCGCACTAAGTATGGACGAGTTCTTTTGCATCTCAACATGTACAACAACAAAAGAAATCTGGGACACTTTAGTGGAAACACATGAGGGAACCATTGAAGTTAAAAGATCAAGGTTGAACACGTTGAGTCAAGAATACGAGTTATTCAGAATGCAGCCAGGAGAATCAATTCTTGATTTGCAGAAAAGATTCGTGCACTTGACAAATCATCTTATAGCACTCGGTAAGATATTAACTAATGATGAATTAAATTTTAAAGTGCTTAGATCTTTATCCAGAGAATGGCAGCCCAAGGTGACAACAATTTTTGAAAAGAAAAGCCTAGCCACGATGACATCCGCCACATTGTTCAGAAAACTTCAAGAATATGAAACAGAACTTGGGCGATTGGAGAAACATGAGAATCAAGAGAAGAAATCTGAAAGCATCACATTAAAGGCTGATCTAAAAGAAGT